TTCACACACAGACCCTTTTACACACAAACATCTCGACACGGAGACACTTTTACACACAGATCCTCTTACAGACAAACCGTTTTACATCCAGCACAAGTAAAATCGCAATTTTACCTCAGTTTTGGCACATCGACCCTCATTTCGTGCGAAAGAGTTGCTCCAGCACAATAGTAAAATCGCAATTTTACCTCAGTTTTTGCGCATCGACCCTCATTTCATGCGAAAGGGTTGCTCCGGGACAAGTGAAATCGCAATTTTACCGCAGTTTTTGCGCGTCGACCCTCATTTCGTGCCAAAGGGTTGCTCCGGCACAAGTGAAATCGCAATTTTACCTTAGTTTTTGCGCACCGATCCTCATTTCGTGCGAAAGGGTTGACGTTTCGTGACTCCTCGTCCGCACCGCCCGCGGCTTCAAGAGAGAAAGAAAAAGAAGGAAAGAGACAGAAAAAGGAGAGGGAGAGAGAGAGAGAGAGGAGAGAGAGAAAGAGAGAGAGAGAGAGAAAGAGACGGATGTGAGCGTGAAGATGTGAGTATGCTCAGATGTGAAGATGTGAAGATGTGAGTGTGAGTATGTGAGTATGTGAATGAAGATGTGAGTATGTGAAGATGTGAAGATGTGAGTGTGAAGATGTGAGTATGTGAAGATGTGAAGATGTAAGTGTGAAGATGTGAGTATGTGAAGACATGAAAATATGAAGATGTGAGTGTGAAGACGTGAGTATATATGTGAAGATATGAAGATGTGAGTAGACCGAGATGTAAGATGTGAAAATGTATGTGAAGATGTGAAGACATGAAGATGTGAAGATGTGAAGATGTATGACAGACGCAAATGACAGACCCAACTATTAGAAGAACCCTTCGCTCAGACGCTCTCGGGAAAATAACATAGAATATGCTCACCCTGCGCTCGGACAGTTCCAGATGCTGCAAGACGATAAAATAATACCTACAAAAAATATGTAATTGTGGAGGTCGTAGAGCACTACACAGAAAGGAAGAAATACATGATAAAGTCTCAAAGAATACGGAATTATGTTGGAATCGTGTTAGTATGTATCTTTGATTGCAAGATAGGGATAGAGAGAGAGAGA